AAGAAGAAGAAGAAGAAGAAGAAGAAGAAGAAGAAGAAGAAGAAGAAAGACTTATGTGAACATCCAGTAAAGGCCTCTGTTCTGAACAGGCACAAACCTTCATTCATTTCCTGTGTAGTCGGCTGTGGGAGGCTGGAATATGCTGACAGTTACTCTAGCAGCCACGTGAGATTGTTTCTTGGAATTTAAAGAAACATACTAATGACAAGGCAAATGACAAAGTATCCCAATGTCACTGGCAGTCTTACACAGTAGGACATTTCAATACCCTAGCCAACTGCTATCTTCATATTTGCCTTGCAAATTTCACTTGCATTTGCTCCCAGATTTGCAGAGTTGGAATTGACAACAAGCTTATACATAGTCTTATTCTGCTGAGTTCCCAGACTCCTTTATTAAACTTGACTTAGAATTAAACGTAAACTCATGTTTGAGCTATCCCTGAAATTTCTCACTTCCCTGAAGGTAACTGTTTAGCCCCAATTCCACAGTCTTTCCCTACAGGAGTAGAATGACTTGTTAGTTGTATCCATTATAATTGGTGACCGGATACTATTGCCATTCTTAACTGCTTGAACTGCCTTATACTTTGGTGATAATCTTGTGCTGGCAGACGTTCTTTCTCGCCCATTCTAGCCTCCGATGAACTCCTCTGCATGCCCTGTCTCTCCCCACCACACACATTGCCTAAAGCAGAGGCCGCAGAGCCCAGGACTGGTTTAGAAAGTCACCCCCTCAGAGAGCAGAAGACAGCACTGGTTACCACAAGCCTTCCATTTTCCATCATTTTTGTTTATCAAATTCTATTAACTTCATGGTTTAAATGTTTTAGCTTCTTTAACAGTTTTCCTTAATAAGAGATTTTGAAATTTGCTTTACTATCATTTTATTTTTTAAAACATTGGTTCCTTTCTAAAAAGACGCAAATTACTTCTCGCTTGTTTTATTGCCTGAATTAGTTGACTGAGTTCTTGCATGAAAAAGATAGCACATCCTAAGAGTTTAACGAAGAGGGTATAATAAAAGGCTATTTGCAGAGACCAGGAGTAGGAGATGATAAAGTATCCAGGGATTGTCTGCAATCGGAAGAGCTACCACCCCTAACCTTAAAGGGACAAAGCAAGGGAATCATTTTAGCAGGACTCAGAGAAAGGAACCTCAAAACAGAAGCAGAAGCCCCAGAATGCAGATGCTGACAAACCACCACGACCGGAAGATGAGCATGAGGCATACATGCCGTGACCTCTCCTGCCCTACTTTCGGACCTCAGCCTTCGCTTCCCATTGGTTAAGACCAATAGACACCAAAGCACAGGGATGCCCAGTGAAAGAGTCCATGGAGATCAGCCTCCCAGGACATAGATCTGAGATCTTATACAGGGCAGGGGCACATAGAGAACCACTAACGCTTGCCCTTGCTAAGTCCTATACCCACGAGATAAACTCATTCAGCTTACTTACAGGGAAAAGGTCCTCGTGATAAGACCCTGCCTCGTTTTCTACCCTCACGTCTCGGCACTCCCAGCTCCTCCCTTCAGTGCTTTCCAATACTTTTGAACTCAGTGCAGTTTCTTGAAAGCGCTTATCTGGTATGTCCTGTACCTGAAACATTTCCCCCTCCCCCAGTCACCTCAGTCTCACCTTCAGGTTTCAGGTTAAGCATCACCTCGCCTAACAACTAAATGCAACAAGTCACCCTGGTCCTAGAGGATGTAGCCTAGGCCAAGAGGACGGTGATAGCAGTGATGATAATGATGTTCTGTAAGTGGCGTGACTGGGTCAGTTGACGGGGTATGAATAAGGTCTGTAGATTAAATAACAGCATCTTATCAATGTCCGTTCCCTGGCTGTGACCATTGTACATGTTTATATAAGAGAATGCACTCCATTTTTAAGCTCAAATTCATTAGGAGTAAGGGGGTCCCATGTCATATCAGCAACTTACTCTCTGAAGAAAAGTTATGTGTGTGTATGTATGCATGTAAATATATGTATATTGTTTACAGATACAAATAATAAGTAGGCAAGATGGCAAAATAACTATAAAAAGATGCTCAGATTCTTTGTAGAGTCTTCAAATTTTTTTTTATAAATCTGTAACAATTTCAAGGCAAAAATTTTAAGTCTTGATTGAGGCCCCTGAGGATCAGACTGCCTCACACACAGAATGTTTATATGCTTCCTTACTTTTTGTCCCTTTCCTGAACAATCGTCGAGTCTGGGAGCAGACATTTCTAGCCACCCAACGAATTAAAGAGAAATTATTTCTGTCATTCCCACAGGATAGTACAACACTAATATTGTGAAACACTGGTAAAGGACTGTGAGACTGAGTGGCCGTGTCTAAAAGTAGATTTCAGAGTGTGATCATGTGGAATAGGTGGCCCACTAGCCAGATTGTGTGCTAAAGAGACAGGAACACTCAGTGGGAATGAAGCAGAAATCATCTGAGGTGTGGCAGATACTATGCAGGGAATAATGGTCACTGTGCACCGATGTGCTGTGCTCACAGCTACTATACACTGATGCTATGCTCATGGCCACTGTGCACTGATGCTGTGCTCACAGCTACTATACACTGATGCTGTGCTCATGGCCACTGTGCACTGATGCTGTGCTCA